TTAAATTACGTATTTTTTTATACAAAGGCAAGGCATTGAATGAAAGATTGAATATCTTTAAGGCTTCAAACAAAAGGCTCGAAGTTGTTACGAAGCCTTTTTTCTGGCAGCTTGCTTGTGCTCGAAGTCTGCCAGAAAAATAGCCTTCGTAGCAACTTCGACCCTTTTGTTTGAAGCCTTAAATTTGTATAAAAACATACCTAATTTAATGTGGTAGAGGCTCCTGGACTCGACTCGCATTCATGCTTCTCGAATTGAGCTCAAAAATAGGCTTCACAAACACGTTTCCAGACTTAGCCATTTCTAGGCAGTTTCCCAGTTTTGGCATAGCCTTTTGATGAGGTTCAAAAATGGTCTTCTGGACTTCCTATCGAGCTCTCAATCACTTCAATATGTAGAGGGACACTCCAGCTTCAAAACAAGTCATTAGTCTTCAATTTCCATCTAGCCAATTCTATGATATAAATATCCAAAGTAGGCACCATGAACTGTTTTTACACTGAAACAACATATTAGGTCGACCGGATCCTATATGAGGTCGACCGAATCCTAAATGAGGTCGACCGGATCCTATATGAGGTCGACCGAATTCTATGTGAGGTCGACCTAATCCTAACTGAGGTCGACCGGAAAGTGCAAGTCACCGTGACATGCATGTCACCGTAGGCACACCCTAAATTATATACTATTGATAATCTACATCTCAAATTATTTTATTTGGAAATTAGGTATCTTTCGCATGGTAATTCCTTCTACTAATTGAATTATAATCGAAATAGAAAAAGGATGAATTATTTGATTAGTCCAATCTAGAAAGACACAAAAAAAAGATACAAAAAAGTGTAATCCGACAAATATCTTAAAATTCACTTGCCAAAGCCAATTGACCAAAAAACTTACTTCCATGACCTTCATCTACTTCCATAAGTTTGTGGACTCGGCCGATCGACTGGTAATTCTCTTTTATGTGTAATAATGTTTACTTAATCTTATGTGATTATGATGATATAAATGTACTGATATATTATTTAGATATGAAAAAAATTACAATTCGAAAATTTAGTGAAACTTGAAAAAGGTAAAACTAAATATGAAATCTATAATTTAGATTTCATCTTAAACAAATTAAAGAAAGATATTTGGTGTTATATAATGACGATGGCCAGGTCGGGGTGGTTATTTCAATATCCATACTCGCCTTGTAACATATCGGGTAATTTATTATGGGTGTGGGCGGGTAGGTTGACTCGTATGAGTATATAATTTTAATTTAAAGAGAAAACATTAAAAATGTTGATTTTACATTGAAAAATCAAGAAACAAACTATAACCTGATAAATGTAGTTAAACTATTCGAGAAATTAATATTCTTACCTATTCATCGATTTGTTATAGCTAAAATTCGAAATAATAAAAGTAAAATTCTATATATTTTGAGAAAAATTACATATAATTTAGATAAAAATAGGTTGAAAATAATACATGTTAGATCGAGTAGATTACTCATTCTCGCTCCAACCCAAAAGGCCAAAATAGATCAAGTAGGTCGCATAAGACAGCTCAAGTCAAAATTATTATCTATATCTTAAACTGAAATAACTAATCTGGCGTAATTTAATAAATCAATAGCCCAAATAAATGATGTTTTGAGTTTTAATGACTCGTTTAGGGTTCCATAACAAACAAACAAACAAAAAAGAGATTCGCCTATGGTTTGTGGGCTTGTAAAAAGGCGGGAAAACGGAGTTAGAGTTGGTGGGCTAATGGGGTTGTAAATTTGACAATAATAAAAAAAAGAAAAGAAAAACAGAGTGTTACCGCTAACTTTGACAACAACAACAAAAAAAAAAAAAAAGTGGCAGTTTCCGCTACAGAGAGTAATTTTACAAATATAACCCTCCACAGTTTGCGGTCTGAATTGCAAAGTCTGAGGTAGCAAAAGCTATTTATTAACATTGCTTTATACTTTATAGGTATTTGTAGACAAATACAAACCGAGAGGAACAATCAAACCTCCCCCTTATACCTATGCAAAGTTTCCTAGAAAGTTCGGGGAAGATTCAACGACGCCCGGAAATATGAACTTTCCGGGAAGAACGGTATCGGAACCTGCTCGGAAGTCTGTTCTTCCCCGGAATAGTCCCGACGACCGCCCGGGCACTTGACTTTGTGTTTTCATTTCCTGCTTATATTTTAGCTTCAAACCCTTGACTTTGCTTATTACTTGTACCGTAATACCGTTGCTGACTGTACATGCGCCGTTTTCATAAGTTCGATCGGAATGGGGAATTATGCAAACCTACTAACATACTGTTTGGTATAAATGGATTCTATAAATTTTGAGGAATTCATTTTGAAATGAAATCTTTTTGTGTATGGTATTTAAAAGAATTCATTTGTAATTCTAAATTTTGAATTCTACGAAATTATAAGAGTTAATACCTTAGTTTGGCCTGAACTATACACAAACTTTCTACTTTGGCCCGTGGTTTCCGAAATTGCTATTCTAGCCTAAACTATGTAGCATACTTCCTAACTTGGCCCGGAGGTGAGTTTGTCAGTCAAAATAGACGATCAATAGGGTTGACCGTTAGTCGATGGCCAGCTCACCTGCCATGTCAGCAACCACAGAATAAAATATTTGTTTTTTTAATTTCTCTATTCCTTTTCTTTTCCTGATAATAATAATAATAAACTGAAGAAAAAAAATTAAGCCCAATTTATGACGGTGGTGTAGACCCGGCCGTACCCCAAATCGGGAAGCATCTTGTAACCGACGGTGGTTATCGGCTTGGGGAGAGGAGAAGCGGAGGAATTGGACGGCGGCGACGGTTCGGGTACCCACTCGCAGTGGTAAGTGGGTATGGAGTAAAGGGGCTTGGAAGTGAGACCGTTAATGGCGAAGGTGTTGCGTCCCAGATTAAGGAAATGCGTGGGGATAAATTGTTTTTAATTTTTTTTCCTGTTTATTATTCTTATTATTTTAAAAAAAAAGGAATAGAGTTGACCGTCCATTTTGAGTTTTTGACGGACAAACCCGCCTCCGGGCCAAGTTAGGAAATATGCTACACAGTTCAGGCCAAAATAGCAATTTCGGAAACCACGAGCCAAAGTAGAAAGCTTGTGTATAGTTGAGGCCAAACTAAGATATTAACCCGAATTATAACTAGTTATAGCAATTTCGAGGAATTGAGATGGAATTTGCAAATGAATTCCACAAGTATTTACTAATTATAATAGAATGACATAATTATCCTCATTTATTAATGAAATTACTTCTACATATATTATTTGGCGTCAATTGATGTAGTATGAGAAACGTCACCAAGAATTCGATTGCAATGTTAGTAGCATATGTTAGTTATTTTATATTTTTGCTTTGATTGTATGAGTACTTTGAGAAGGCACAACTAGATTGTAGGGTTCATCCACGAAATATTAGAAAAGAACTAATTAATAGAATATAAACACACAAGAACACTTTTGTATTCTACGTATGGGACCAAAGACGTTTTTTAGAAGATGAATTTTTCATGAATATTGACTTTTTCCGAAAAATTAATAAGGGTATAGTTGGAGAAACTTTTAATTTAATTCAATTCTAAACATATACCAAATATGGTTTGGGAATTCAATTCATTTATTTCTAAAGATTGAATATGACTACCAAACACAGGAATTCATTTGACAATGAATTATACACAGTAATTCATTTTAAAATGAAATGAATTCTCAATTCATTTGATACCAAACTGTCTGTAAAATTGGTTTGTTTTCTTTTCGCCTCAAGGTGGATTCATTTTGCATGAAAAATATATAAATCTATGGCAAAGGCTAGCGTACGCCCGGACGTACCCTAGCCTACCGTACGCCCATTGAGATTTGTTATTTAGACAATAAATTAACCGCAGTTTGGGGCACGATACTATACCCTAACCCCTAATGGGTGAACCCCAGTCCGCAATTCACTAACCCAAATAATAATATTCATTTAATCTTGAAATAAAAATCAACGGTTCTGATTCGTCGAAATTATTGTTGGTTTTACATTTTAAGATTAAACGAATCTCATGGTTTGGATTAGAAAACTAGGGACCGGGGTTTATCCATTAGCGGTTAGGGTATAGTATCATGCCCAAAACTCCGGTTAATTCTTGATCTAAATAGCAAAACTCAAATGGGCGTACGGTAGGCTAGCGTACGCCCGGGCGTACGTTAGCCTGAACCATAAATCTATTATACTTTGAGATTTTATTTTTTAATTAAGTTGGTATTTTGAGAAATTTTAATTATCCAAGACTAGCATCTTGTGAGGTTATGAAATAAAATAAGAAAAAAGTACATTTTTTAATCTTTTTACTACCACATGTTAACGAAATTCCAGTCCCTCCGATTAGGGGTGGCTATACGGTCCGATCGGTTAAATTGGCCCAAATTGATCCGGTCCAGTCCGACCTTTTTGAAAATATAAGGACCAAAGATTGGATTGAATACATTCCGGTCTTGATCCGGTCCGGTCCCAATTCGATCTTGATTTTAATATTGAGCTTGTGGGGATTTGAGTGGCCTAAGACTTGAAAGGGTGAGAGGTTGGTTAAGTTTTGTACTAAGTGCAAAGATTTGTGACCGTTTATGCAAATTACCCTTAAGTTTTGGGTGTTGAGCTCTCTTATCCGGTCTTTATCTAGTTTTCGATCTGGTCCCGAACGATTTTTTACCTCAAATCTAAGCCCAAAGATTGGGTTAATTGTATGGTTGGTCACTGAGATTACACAAAACGTTCATGTTTGGTCACTGGAAATATTTAAATCCAACCTTGGTCACTCAAATTATTTAAATGGTTCAAATTTGGTCACTCTCCGTCCAACTCCGTTAAATTTGTCTGATGTGGCAGGCAACCCTCAAAGTTGACCGTTAACTGAGTGACGTGGCAATTAAAAAATAATAAATAAAATAAATTTTAATCTTCTACCATTTCCAAACAATAAAGTAAACAAAAAATGGAAGTAGCTTTCAACACCATTCCCGGCTTCAACCACTCATTCCTCGACGTCATCCATGAGCTCATCGAAGAAACCACCACCGAGAAGTCCGCCGGCGGCGGCGCCGGCCACCACCCTTCCGCCGCGTACCTCCGCGAAGCACGTGCGATGGCCGCCACCCCCGCCGACGTGAAGGAGCTCCCGGAGGCGTACGTGTTCGTTTTGGACATGCCGGGGCTTTCGGCCGACCAGGTGAGAGTCGACGTGGAGGAGGACGGGAGGACGCTGGTGGTGAGCAGGGAGAGGAAGAGGGAGAAGGAGAGGGACCAAGGGATACGGTACGTGAGGATGGAGAGGCGGCTGGGGAAGTATCTGAAGAGGTTTCCGATGCCGGAGAACGCTGACGTGGAGAAGGTGGCGGCGAGGTATAAGGACGGGGTGCTGACGGTTACGGTGGTGAAGAAGCCCCCGGAGGAGCCCAAGAAGCTCAGGACGTTGAAGTTCAAGTCGCGTGATGGTGGTGGTGTTGGATGTGTACATTATGGTGCAGTTTGGTGTTGTCGACGTTCTTTCCTCCGATCAGAACAAGAGCCCCCCAAATTCATCAAAAAAATTACCCGCCAAGAGCAGAATGGTTCTGTTTGGGTCCCAGCTCAAGATTCAGATTCCTTCTTCCTTGCTCTCCCTCCCGCCTTCTTCCCCAGCAGCAGGGTCTTCCCCCAGATCTCCGGCCGATTTCGGGATCAAGACGAGGAACTCTCAATTGGGCAGCTCTTTCTCCTCCTCCGGTCTATCCCCATCCCCCGTACTGAAATCCACGACGTTCGGGTCGGACAATTCGGGTCTGGACGCCTCGAACTGCCGCCGCAGCGGGTCTTCACCTCCGGCGAAATGGAGCTTTCCGAGGACTATACCTGCGTCATCTCCCACGGCCCCATCCCGAAAACCACTCACATATTCGACGATTGCATCGTCGACGCCTACTGCGGCGTGTTTACCCTCGATCCCTCGGTCAAAGAAGCGTCCGACGATTTCTACCCTTTTGAGAGCGTGATTATAATATTTTTTTAATTTTTTTTAATTTCACTTTACTGTTTGAAAATGGTAGAAGATTAAAATTTATTTTATTTATTATTTTTTAATTGCCACGTCACTGAGTTAACGGTCAACTTTGAGGGTTGACTGCCACATCAGACAAATTTAACGGAGTTGGACGGAGAGTGACCAAATTTGAACCATTTAACTAATTTGAGTGACCGAGGTTGGATTTAAATATTTCCAGTGACCAAACATGAACGTTTTTTGTAATCTCAGTGACCAACAATACAATTAACCCCCCAAAGATTGGATTGGATTGTTTACTATCCGGACCCGGTCCGGTCTCGGTCCGATTTTGGGTAAAACCAAAAAACCCGGACCAAATAGTCAGCCCTATCTCCGATCCTTAATTTCTGACTCCGGTTCTGATAATCCGAACTTAATTTATTAGTTTCTCTTATTAATTTTCAATTGGCAAGAATTCACACATATGTGTTTTGGGAAACACATGTTCTAGTTTCTTCAGCTCAAATTATTCATTTTTAGTATGACACTCATTGAAAAAAATGCTACGAACGTTATCATATTTTAAAAGGTTTAAAAAATTAGATGCATTTCAAATGAAAATTATTTATCTTCATGACAGCTTATTGTGTGAATAAGTTCGCAATAAATGTGTTTCGAGTTTAGTACATTTATCTTCATAAAAATATTGCAGATGAGGATATTACCTGGGGATGGAGCTTCCGTTATGAACCCTATTGGGAGAGGCATGAAGACTGCGGTAAGGTAGTAGAGGAGGGCTGGATGGGAGCAGGAGAGGGGACTCTCATGGAACGAATTCAGAGTGTGGAAACAAGGCTGAAAACTTGGACCTCTCAACCATTTGGCTCGCTAAAGGACAGAAGAAAGAAGGCAGAGAAGGCCCTGCGAGCCGAGCACTAGAGAAAAGAAAGAGGACTAAGGCAATTCTGCTCCAGAAAAAAATCATTGAACAGGAGCTGAATGAGATCATTCTCCAACAGGAGATAAAGTGGAAGCAACGCTCTAGAGCTGACTGACTCAAAGAGGGAGATCAGAACACAGGATACTTCCACCGTAAAGCATCGGAAAGAAGAAGGAGAAACACAATAAAAAAATTGCAGAATGAGAGGGGCCAAGTCTTTGTGGGACAATAGGGGGTTACAAGTTGTTTACTGGACTATATGAAGCGGCTGTTCAAAGCAGGAATCAGGCCAGCTGAAAGTCAAATTATGCCTGCTGTGCAAGAAAGAGTTACAGAGGAGATGAATCAAGAACTGTTGAGACCTTTCACAGACGAGGAGATATGGATTGCATTGAAAAAAATGGGGCCAAACAAGGCCCCGGGGGCGGATGGGATGCCGGCAAGGTTTTTTCAAAAACATTGGGGAGTGGTTGGACAGGCAGTGAAAGAGGAATTGCGAAGCTATTTGGAGCAGGGGGAATTTCCACAACAATTAAATCATACCCTCATTGCTTTAATACCAAAGACTAAGAACCCAGCGACACCTTTGGAGTTTAGACCGATTAGTCTTTGCAAAGTGCTATATAAGATTCTGTCCAAGGTCTTGGCTAACAGGCTTAAAGGAATTCTGGACCAGATCATTGGAGAGCAACAGAGTGCCTTTGTGCCGGGCCGTTTCATAACAGATAATGCCTTAATTGGTTTTGAGTGCTTCCATGCTATGAAGCAGAAGCGGAAAGCAAAAAAGGGGATAATGGCAGCAAAACTGGATATCTCGAAAGCCTATGACAGGGTTGAGTGGGTATTTTTGGAGGCAATAATGAGGAAGATGGGCTTCGCAGACAGATGGGTGCACCTCATCATGCAATGCATTACCACGGTTTCCTACTCAATTCTCGTAAATGGTCATCAATCTGAAGTTTTTAAGCCGGAGAGAGGGCTCAGGCAAGGGGATCCAATCTCCCCTTACCTGTTCCTCCTTTGTGTGGAAGGGCTGTCCACTCTAACCTCTAAAGCAGTTGATGAAGGGAAACTCCATGGAATGAAGGTCTCATCTAGGGGGCCTAGGATTTCTCATCTGCTTTTCGCGGATGATAGCATTTTCTTCTTGAGAGCCACACCACAGGAATGCCACCACCTAAAAGAAATCCTACGGATCTATGAAGCGGAATCGGGCCAAATGGTGAATCTGCAGAAGTCTGAGCTGATTTTTAGCCTGAGTGTAGCTCTGGCTAAAAGGGCTGAATTGGCTAATATCTTAAATATGAAGCAAGTGGAGACCTACGCCAAATACCTTGGCTTACCAATGGTGATTGGAAAAGAAAAGAAGGCAGTTTTTGAGCCTTTGGTGAACAGGGTGCGTAAAAAAGTTAAACACTGGAAGGGGCTCACCCTCTCCATTGCTGCAAAGGAAATCCTAATTAAGGCAGTGGCACAATCCCAGGTAACATATATGATGTCTGTTTTTCTGGTTCCGAATGGAACTTTGAATGATGTGAGGAAAGTCATCTCTAGTTTTTGGTGGGGGCAGCAGAAAGAAGAACGTAGAATTCCGTGGAAAGCATGGAAAGAAGTCTGTAGGCCTAAAGAAGAGGGTGGAATGGGTTTTCGGGACCTACACGCTTTCAACATAGCGCTGCTAGGGAAACAAATCTGGAATTTGTTAACCTATCTAGAATCCCTAGTAGCAAGAATGTTCAAAGCAAAGTACTATCCGAACACTGATATTCTACAAGCAAAACTGGGGGCTAATCCGAGTTATACCTGGAGAAGCATTTTGGCTGCACAAGAGTTGGTTAAAAGTGGCTTGAGGTGGAGAATTGGAAATGGCACTAGTGTTAAAGTATGGGGTGAAAGATGGATCCCAGGGGCAGAGGAGAATGACTGTAGAGTTCTCACGCCAGAAGAGGATAATGATGAGGTTCGCTTAGTGGCTGATCTTATTGACCATGATGACAGAACTTGGAGGCAAAACATGTTACAGTGCCATTTTAACCCTACTGACAGAGAGAGAATTTCAGGGATCCCTATACCTCTTCAACCAGCAGAAGATGTACGAGTTTGGAGCCAGGAGAGATCAGGGGTGTACTCAGTGAAGACAGCCTATAAGTTGGCACAAAAGCAAAAAGAAACTACTATAGAATCTGGCGACCAGGAGGGTGAAGAAGAAGAGGAGGAGGTGAATTCAGCTGTGGAGGTTTATGAACCTATGAACTGGAAGAGAATGTGGAAGCTGATTATCCCTGCCAAAGTAAAGATTTTCTTTTGGCGACTGATCCATAATATCCTGCCGACTGGGAAGAACATCGAAGCCCGAAAGCAAGAAGTAGCGACAGAATGCCCATTTTGCCACACTGAAGAAACCCAAAACCACATATTTCGGGAATGTCAGTGGGCTATTAGGGTATGGAGGCAATCATCTTTCAGACCGCTCTTTGAATTAGAGCCAGGGGTCTCACCGAAAAGCTGGATTTGCGGAATCATGGAGCGGGTGGACGACGAGGTACTAGAACAATTTGCAGCAGTCCTATGGATGATGTGGAACGAACGCAACAATCACATGTTCAATCGAAAGAAAGCAGAGGAATGGGAAGTGATTGGGAAGGCTCTAAGCTATTGGGAAGAATTCAGCTCATACCATCGGCAAGAAAAGCAAGAGAGAGAGGCGGTGGGTGTTACCTGGCAACGACCGCCGAGAGGATGGGTGAAAGTAAATGTTGATGCCGCCGTTCTGAAGGGACAAGGGACAGGATTGGGGATGATAATGCGTGATGACAGGGGCGCCTTCCTGCGAGCAGCTGTGCGAAGGGAAAGGAGATGCTGGCCACCTGAAATTGCAGAAATTAAGGCGGTGGAATTTGGATTGCAGCAACTGGAGCTTAGCGGGTGTCGTCGGGCGGTGGTGGAGATGGACTGTCAGCTGGTAGCAAATGCTCTCCAGCGGAAGAGCTTCACAAGGTTGGAATCGGGCCATCTAATTAGAGAGATGCAGGATAAAGCCCAGCGGTTGGGCTTAATCAAATGGGAATTTGTGAGAAGAACAGGGAATGAATCGGCCCACATTATGGCCCATTGTCGATGTAACTGGGATTCAGAAGAGGTCTGGGTTTCTAGGCCCCCAGTTTTCCTCTTAAACTGTTTGGACAAGGAGGCTCAAGCCCCATAATAAAGTTTCTCAGGTTATTATAAAAATAAAAAAATAATAATTAGCTCCCCGAAACACGTTGATCCGTATAAAATTAATAACCACATTCATTAAGATAATCCTAAATTTTAATAATCTTAATATCTTATTGTATCTTGTTACCACCTAACTACCAACCGAAACCAATCCGAGACCGAGAGTGGAAGTTCAGTGAGTCCGGCATCTTAGATGAACATAATTGGTTGGGATTAATGAATTCATAGGGTTGGAGGAGATCTCAAGTACTTAACTTTTTTCAGTAATCCAACAATCATTAATTTGTAGGGATTAATAATTTAATCTAATCTTCTTGTTTGAGTGATGTAATCGAAGGTTGTTTAATGAACCGCGTTTCTGCGAATATAGGAAATTAATAAATAAAAAAAAAATGAGCCGATCAGAATCTTCCCATCATCCTTCCCTTCTTTTCATTTTGTTATTGTATTATATCACATCTCCAAAATGTCCAAATCATTAGAGATAGTTAAACAAAGACCCACTGCACTGCATTGACTGATACGAAAGCAAGCAACGCGCCAACGCACCACATACTCAAACCCAACGGCCAACGGCGGCCGTACCCAATTATTGGAGATAAGTGTGGGTAACGGATCGGATATGGTACTCCCACCTACCTACCTATCGTTGGGAGGACGTCATTCCAGCGGAGAATATGATATTTGTGTAATGTGATAATTTAGTATGCGATTTACATGAATGTATAAGATAAAAATTATGCATACCGGGTCCCCGAATTCTATCAAACCTCAAACTGAATTCGAACCGAATTATAATTCGGTTCGGTTTGGTTTTTCATACAAAACCGAAAATAGTGAGGTTAGCTTGTATCTTCTCTTGTTTAAA